TAAAGGAATAACACCACCAGCAAAGCACTTTCTTTCCAACTGCTTTTCACCACCTTGCTTGTTACTCCCCTTCATTATTAGTTATCACATAAGCATACACAGGAACAGTTAGCAGGGTAGATAAACATACACAAATATCAAGGCAAAGTAGTAACATAAAGGGTGAAATTGTGCACATTTGAAAGCAGAACAGTAACATGGGTGGGAATGTTCAAACTTCAAAGCAGCAGTCATTCAATCCTGTGCTCTCACACAAGACCAGTATTAACAACTCAAAAGAAAACAAAATTGTGAAAACATTCAGGTTATTCTCCAGTGCCCTTTCTTTAGGAGCACAGGTCAGAGGGTATTAAAAAGAGATGGGGGCAGATGGCAGCAGTACTAATGAGACTGTGAAAAGCAGCAGGGACTTTTCTGCTTTTATTTAAGAGGCTCTGTAGCTGTTCCCAACACACCACAACAATGCCTCTCTGCCAGGTTCAGGTGACCCAACACATCACCAGGGGTTTCAAAAAAGTGTAAAGCAAGACATGGGTTCTCAAGGTGGGTTCTCATACGAAAAATAAGCCACCCTAAAGAAACCTCTGATCACCCACAGTGGATTGTTGTGCTATACAAACTGGTTTATTTTGTCCTAAGAATAAAAAGTTTTAAATAAATTTCATTCTGTTCATGTGAAAACTTTACGAACAAGCTTCTCCTTTAACTATTTCATATTTTCACACATCTTTTACACATACATAAAGTTACTACTATTACTGAACTTCAAATATATTTAGCACCAACATGCTAGGCTGCTTGCAAAATGCAAGTGACATACTCCCTACACAGAAGCTATACTTATATATAAGCATTACACCCATAAACCAGAGGCTTCATATTCACAAAACAGTAGTGATGGAAAAAAACACAATCCATAATTTTGTCATGCTTGAAGCAAAAAAGCTTGCATAGTGGCTAAAACAAAACAACATATATAAAGATCATATGGGATTAATAAAAGACTCTGCAAGAGTGCCGTACCTCATGGGCAGCCCCATAGCACAAAGCTCTCCAAAGAGATCTACATATCCCTCAAGTTAACATTAATGAGCAAGCAACTTGCTCTTTTTGATGACGTTAAACATGTCCACAAAAATGCACCATCTAGACATAAAGACAAAACCAGACTCTGCATTATCCCATTTCATATTACTATGGATACAAATCTTTTGGATAATAGTTGGGAGTCTTGGGGTTCAACTGCAATATTCAGACTTTTAATTTCATCCATTCTGTGTTTCTCTACTGGGCATTTTTCTGCCTTCAACATGCTCATAAGCACAATTTTAGGATTGCAGCATGTAGAATTGAACCATATACCAGACAACTAAATTGACCCAATTATCTCTAAGATAGCACTTATCATTGTTCCCTGGTAATTTTGACCAAAGCATAGTTAACAAGGCCTGAGTTCACACATATGACAAGCCCTGCTGGAGATGGTTTGTTACACAGGAAGCATGGTGAGGTTTGGCACATTTGGTCAATGTGAATCCCCATGGAAAAGCAACAGTCTGTTCTATCATTTCCCTACTTCATCATTGTTTCCCATTGTGTGTGGCTTCAATTTCCATGTTTTTCTGGAGCTTCTTTGTGTCTACCAGCAAGTTTGGCAAAAGCAGCCAGAGCGGCAGTGGCCACTGCAGCCACCATTTTCCTTTGAACGGTTCTGCCTAGCAACTGCTAAGTAACTAGAAGCAGGGAGCTGATTGGCTCTGTACTCTAATTCTTCCATGCCATTTGCACACTCTCTGATGGGGCACCTTGCCTGCCTCACAAGATGCTTCACAGCCCACTGCATTTCTGATTCATGAGGTGCCTTGCTCATGCCACCATAAGGCACCATGCAAGATGGGTGTGACAGCAAAGTAGATGGGACCTCACAGTGGACACTGGAGCATCCTTACACTGCTACCATCCATGCACTGAGCTGCTTGGGGAAGGCAACCCTCACAGTGGATGCAAATTCTGTACATGGATGGGAGGATTGGGCACATGCATAGCAAGGGAGGTGGAGGTATAGGTGGGTGTGCATGCTTATGCATGGGCATGGAGTGTGGCAAAATCAGGGTGGATAACAGCAGCAGATATTGGCTCCATGGAGCAGCTGGGAGAAAAATGCAGCAGCTGGCTGAGAACACATGGGCCAATGGGGATAGGCAGGCAGCGGGATGATGGGGTATGTGCTACCATTTAGAGGGAAGATAGAGGCATGTGGAAACTACCCAAGTTACTAGGCAAATGTGTGTACACAGGACAGAAAGTGAGATACCATTAGCATTACGTGTGAACTCAGCCAATGTGTACCAAGACTCTTCATTCTGTGATGTTAACACATAACACATGCAGTGTTTTGCAGAAGTATCTCTTATGTATGTTTTGACTTTTCTACATGTTATTGTCTTACAAACTGGAATTTAAAGGGATTGAATTGGTGCTTTTACCACCTGAAGTACACAACCCTGTGAAGTTGCAAAATATTTTATTCTGCCACAGAAGTTTAAAAACAACTGACACTTGTTGGTTACATAAGTGTTCACTCCCTTGAGTCAATATTCAGTGGGAGCATCTTTGGCAGCAATTACAGCTGTAAGTCTTTTTGGGTAAGACTCTATAAGCTTAGTGCATTTGGAACTTGCAATGTTTGTTCCTGGCAAAACTACTCCAACTCTGTCAGGTTGGATAGGAACAGTTGGAAAACAACAACTTTCAAGTCTTACCATACATTCTCATTCAAATTGAGGTCTGGGATCTAACTGGGCCATGCTAAGAAATCTAGCTTATTTTAAAACTAGTCCTCTGTTTACCCGGGTGAAGGTTTAGGCTCGTTGACCTGCTAGAAGATGAACTTCTACCTCAGTCCCAGGTCACTTGCAGGACCTAAAACAGTTTTTGCTCTAAAATTGCCCTGTACTTGGCTCCATCCATCTTGCCCTCAATCATGGCCAGTTTCTCAGTCCCAGAAACACATCCCCACAACATGATGCTGCTGCCACCATGCTTCACCAGTGGTATGGTACTCACAACACAATATGCACTCTTAGCTTTGCACCAAACACAGCATTTTGCAGCAAGTTCCAAAAATTCAAGTTAGGTCTCCACTGTCTCCCCCACATGTCTTTTTGCAAACCTTCAATATAAGTTTGCTTCAGGAATGGCTTTTCTCTCTCCACTCCCCATTAAACCGAGTATTGTGGGGTATCTAATACTATGTCCCATAAATATTACTTAATAGCAAAATTAAAAATGCTAAGAATATATAGAAAAAGACTAGCTCAATGCAATCTCACAGGTTCAGACTATTTCCAAACGCCTGCTAGAACACAAAACGTTTTTGACTGCCTCAAAAAACTCAATAGGAAGTATTCCAATCTAGCCTCACTGTGGAGGGAGTTGCAGAACCTTGAGGCCATCACCAAGAAGGCCCTCTTTCACATTTCCACCAAGTAAGCCTATGAAGGTGGTGGAATGAAGAGTAGGATCTCCCCAGAAGATCTTAGGGTATGGGCAGTTTCATAAGAGAGAATATGATATTTCAAATACCCTGTGTTGTGCCACAGTTCTTCTAAACACTGGATACACACCAGTACACATACAGCACTAAAAACAAGTGAATCTGCTTTCTTAGTATCATCATCCCATAAATCACTATTCTCAATTTCTAGTGTATTATATGTGCAATGGCACCCTTCCTTCACTTTCTTGCCACAACAAATTCATAGCTTCCAATGCTACAAGAAATCATAACAACAAAAAGAGTGCTTTTTTAGTGAAGCCACAGTAACTTAATTGACACTGAAAATACTCACTGAAAGGGCATATGAAAAGCCAAAAAGGTAACATGTTACCTATTGTTAAAAAAAAATCTATAAATTAGAATTATCACCACAAGCTAAGGATCTATTTCACAGAGGATGGGGGTCCTGAACCTAACTTGTATCGAAAAACTCAGTCCCAAAATTTCTGTCAGGCACTTACTACAATACTATGGAAGGGTGAGAGAAAGAATTGACAGCAAGCTCATGATTGCTCCAAATCCAAACCATTTATTAAAGAAACTTTCTGTTTTAAGAAGTAAGGTGTCAGTTCTCCACTGTACTGGGACTGAAGATGCTACAAGCAAGCTAACCAAAGTTGCTTCATTTTTTGTCCTTCAGAATAGTTTATTATCTCCAATTCTAGGGTCTTTGAAGAAGTAATCATCTACAGATTGTACAATTACATTTATTTTCCAGCAGTGTTCTTGCAGTCAGTGACTTTGAATTATGTTGAATTTTATTGTGGGGTGGTTAAGCATCTTTCCCTTATCAGAGCTCTATCCCCTCTCCTTTTGCAAAAACTTCAAAGTAAGAATGTAAAAGAGGACTTATTCTCTTTTTGATGGTAAGGATTTGTCTGTTGTTGTTTTTTCTCCAAATTGCCTGCTTGAATATCTATAACTTTTTAAATGTATGCATTCTATCAAAGGGTTCTGTAGGAAAAGTATCCCTTGTTGTTCCTCATCTGACTGATGAACTGCTGATCCAGGGAACTTTCCTTTATCAGTGTAATGAATAGAAGAACTAAAGATACACAAATTCCAAAAGTGTAACAGAATTTCTTTGATTTGTGCTTGCTTGGAGCTCCCCCAACTCATGCCATCCTGCCCCATTAGGATGTGGAAAAAACATCAGCTGAAGAGTTGACGTCCTTAACTTACAGAGTTATGATTTCATGTTGATCACCCGAAAGACCAACAGAGTCACATTGATACACTTCTAAAATCTCATTCCATTATGCTTTTACATATGTGGATTAAAATAATGTTAATTGTTAAATAATTATTTACACCTTGAAAACCATGTAGCATAGCCTAAGTATCTTTTGAGAACTTGGATCTCATCTAAATTATGTGATGAGCTGTTCTGATACAGGAGGCACATAAATTCTAACTGGCTGAGTCTGTTCTTTGTACTTACCAAGGAGGATGGATATATATGACATCCTGTGGCACAGCCTTGAGAAGAGATGCCGTTTCTTTTGCAAAAAGAACTTTGAGTCTAGACTGAATGTTAAGAATTTCTTCTGTGGAAGAACTAGCAGCACAGACTGGTTGCAACTGATGACAGACAGCTATACAGTGGGTGCATTCTTCATGCATTTCTAAGATCTTTACAATTAGTACACCAGATTTAACACCTGGAAATTAAACAATGAAACACATAAAAGTTCTCAATGAGATATTAAGTGTAAGCATAAAGAAGATATACAGACCTATTTTCTTCCTAACATTTGTATGGATGCAGATAAAAAGAAGTGACTAGAAAATAAGCATGCTTACACTTTAAAACATCCATAGGTCTTCAATACACAAAAATCAATGTATCTCCTTTAATCTTTTCAGCTGTTAATTGAGCACCCTATTCATTCACTGCAAGATGCTTTCAAATAAATACTTTAGTGTTGTACAACCTGAATTTACCCCACAGTTAGCCAGAATTATATTTGACCCAATGTGGCCCATAGCACAATAGTAAAGCATGTGGTTTGCATGCAGACAGTATAAGGTTCAGTCACTGACTTCTTCAGTAAAATGTACAGGTAGGTGTATCAGACACCCTAGAATAGACCAGTCTTCCCTTACTGTGTTCCCTGCAAATCTGTCACAGTTCAATTAGCCATTCTGGGAGTGGGGGTTGTTGCCCTGAAAAATGACACAGGGATATTTTAAATAAATAATGTTACAATAATTAAGATCTTGTCATTCCCATGCATATGTTGGTACTTGTAGTCCAATGCATCTGGAAGGCACCAATTTGGGGAAGACTGGAATTGATAAAATGTAAGGCAGTAGCCTTGTATAAGGCAGGGGCCTAAATTCCCGTATGAAAAATGCAACTCAGCAGGCAAACAGTAGGTGGGAAGACGACCTTGATAATCTTCCTATTGGAAAAAAGAAAAACTAAATAGCCATTGGATCTGGATTAACTGATTTTAACAATTGTGTTTACCAAGACAAACTAAGATCAGCAACCAAAACCATACCTGTGTACCTGCCTGGAAAAGTAAAGCGGCAGGAGTAAGAAAAGGGCCTTCTCCAGAAGGGACCTCGGCCTGTGGAACTCTGTTCTAATTTATGTCTACTGAGCCCTATTATTAAAGAACTTCAAGGGGACCTAAAATTCACTTGAGTTAGGACAGTACTGGGGCTATTGTGTATAAGATACTGCTTTGGTTTTAACTGTCACTTTAATTTTATCATCTCTTTTTTATTGCTCTTATCACAGTTTTGTCTTCTTCTAAGAGTTCTACCTAAAAGATGACTTCATAATCTTTTACATAAATAATGTAACATATATTTTGTGAACCTAAGTGTTTCTCAGTCATTCTGGAAGAAGGGGTAAAACTGACCCAACCAAGTTTTCAAAATAGATTATTTACCTAAACAAAGAAAATATTACCTAAACCAGAAAGTAGGATCAGCAGCCCAAAGCAAGATAAGCAGGTCCTTTGCTTCTTAAATCATTTAAGAATGACAGAAAAATTATTTTAGCAGTAAAAATGCCAACATCAGTAAGTTATAATGTTTGTTGCTTGATTATGCACACAGAAAAACCTTCTGTGATCAGCAAAATCTGTGAACTTGGGCATAGTTCAGAAGCCACACTTGAAATTTAAATTTAAGCCTCAAAAGAAATGCTTGAGTATAATGTACCAGGGTTCCCAAGTAGGTTGAAAGTACAGCCAAGAGGGGTTTTAAAACACCACATCAAAGGAGCTCTGTTCCAGTAACACTTATGCATTGTGCATGCAGCTGGCATATCAATTAATATTGACAAGCCCCTAATATGCTTATTCTCCTTTTTCTGCCATTTGAAATACTTTCAAAACCCTCACCTACAAGAAGAGACATTATTATTCTATGAAGTACTTGAGCGGAGTAATGGAAAATACTACAGATGCTTGGAAAGTCAGAACTCTACCAGAGGTTTCAAACCAGATTCTTTACGAATCACTACCAATCACTTATGTTCACACCATTCAAGGGTTTCATTTCAGTGAGGGTAGGCTCAGTGAAATACCTGTCTACTCACTACTCTAGTACTGAGGGTCTAGAGTAGCACTGTAGAAGCACTCCCCCACAATCCCCAGCCACATGCAAACATATTCACCCTCACACTCACCTATGCCCTCTCCCTCACTATGTGTACATGCTCCCCTGTGCTCAGAACTCACACACATTGCCAGGCTCGCATTTTCCCTGCAGCTAGAGGGCATCAGTGAGAACAGGCCATGCCCTCCCCACTAGCTGCAGTGTCCAGCAGAACAGACATGCCCCCCGCAGCCGGGCTATCACTTATGCAGCAGGCTCTCCTCTGGTCCCACAAAAACCCAGCAGTCTTATAAGCAAGATATATTAAAGATTATAAGGAGCTGGAGTCTTATAAGCAGTTAATTGTATGTGACAAAGTGAAGTGTAAGCTAGATGAAACTTTAATAAATTAGCTCAAAGAAAATTTGTTTAAAAGATATCATAGGCAATTGTTGTCAAACAGATTAGATGTCTTTAAAGATGCTAAACGGATGTTAGACATGTGAACATAAATCAGATTAAAAGCCTTTAGTTCTTTTTTAAGCTTGGAACTTTTCTTCTCTTTCGCTTTCCTTTTTAGTAGATATTGGATTGGAACACTAGTAAGCAAAAAAATGTATTTGATTGTATCTGTAACTATTATAATGAGGAGTTTGTCTGTTTAATATTAGAAAAATGAAAAGATCTTGAATTGTGTAGAGTTGGTTAGATTGAAGCTACTACTGAAGAAGAAAGAAGATATTAACTTTTACCAAATTTGGAGAGTCTTTCTTTTAATATTGGTCAAGAAAAAATGGGACTTTGTAAGAAATGGATGGACTGACTTTACCGCAGAAGGAGAAAAAAGATAGTGACTTCTATCCAATTTGGAACCTCTTTTTTTATTGGCTGGAGAAATGGAACTTGGTTTAGATCTAAAAATGTTTTTAAGATTTCATAAATGGATCTGAATATGATTACAGAATGTTAAAAGACTTGTAGTAAGGGGCTGACCCAGTAGTTCTGATGTTTGTGATGACTGATGTTTTTAGTATTGGTTTAAAATTTAATAAAAAATTATAAAAAAACCAGCAGTCTTCACCAGCCACTGGGGCTCAGTTACCTATACACTGCATGCATCCTAACTGCTGCCAAAGCCTGCAGATTCTGGTGGAGTGACATGAGATGAAAACCCAGTGCTTCTCTTTCATCATCCTTGGAAGCAATTTGAGACAGACTGCACCCTTCCCCCCATTCCTAAAATGGAAAAGAAACTTTTTGCAAATGCTCCGGAAAATCTGTCATGAGGGGCATGGATTTGCCCCCATATGCCAGGCAGAAGGGAATAAAAGACACAGAGGAGCAGGAACATGGATGGGCATGGTAACAAGAGGCAGATGGTTGCATGTTTGTTCCCTCTGTAGGTGGTGCAGTCACTTCCCAGAAGTGGACTGGGTTCCACCATGGCCACAAGTCCTCCTGGGGCTCAGAGAACCAGTGTAAAAGATTATCATAGTGAATGTTGTGCATCTGCTCCTGTGCTGCCCCAGAAGTCAATGAACATTCCCAGTCCATCCCTTGACCAGAAATAGGCGTGCAGCCTCCTGCAGGGGTGGGCAGCATCTCCTTCTGGGGACTGCTGTGAAGAATGGAGGGAGGATGCTGTGGTCTGGAAAGAAAACCCTGGGGGTCAAGGAGTTTGAGCCACATCATCCCTCGTATCCATTGTGCCTGGGCGCACAAGCACCCATGTTAGGGACTGCGGCAGTGTGTCCTGTTAGGAAGAGTTTCCCACAGGAGCATGTGTGAGCATTGGCCTAGGACAGTTTTCCAACTGGCCACAGCTGGGGAGGGGCTGGGGGGCAGCAAGACTTGAGAGGTCTTAGGAATGTCAGGAGCAGCAAGGAGGATGGGAGATCTGGCCTTCTCCGGGTGATCGTCCTAATGGTGATGCCCATGCACAGCCTGTGTGCTTCTTATGTCTAAGGCTGCTATCATAAGAGAAGAATGCTGGCTCCCAGAGTGGCCCAAGCACCCTACTATTTCCAAGCACTGTTCCAGCAAAGTGAAGACACTAGACTGGAATGCCAGGCATAGCTGTTGCCATCAAGTGAATGTGCTAGTGAATGTGGTTTGTGGGGTGCTACCGAAGCTTTCCTAGCTTGTTGTGCTGCCAGTACTTCACCAAACATAATAAAGCCACTCTGTTGGGGGTACCTCAGAACTTGAAGGCATCCATGAAAATCAGTTGGTGATTTTCTGCCCAAGTTGGTGTCTGAATCCACTCATTCACCTGTAATCTAATTTCCTGTGCTAGGTAAAATGATGGTAATGTGGCTTATGGAGGAACTTTTTATACTTGCACAGTCGTGGACAGATCACTACGTAGTGCCTTTAGACATACTGGATCTTGCAGCCTTGGGAGGGATTGGGGCCCAGTTAAAGCAATCTGCCCAGGAGCATAGTTTCTTATACAGCTGTTGGGGATTTTCCTATCACACAGCAGGCAATTCTGTCAAAGGTTGGCTGATCGCTGGAATGGAGAAAAGATCCAGGAAGTTGTCACAATAGCTCCTGGGCACCCTCTCCTGCTGAGTGGAACTAGATGAAAAACAAATGGGATGATTGCAAGGACAATGTTGATAGCAAAGCTGGAATGCATCCGCTGCATCTATCACTGCCACCAACTTTGTGGCAGTGATAGATGCAAAAGAATAAAAAAGAATTGCTTTTCTGCTGCCACTACATCTGCAGGATCATCCAAGAACAGTTTCACAGTAGTCAAAGATCTATTACATTCTGTCCCAAGAAAACATTAAATACTCAGTATGACATTGGGATTAGTTTGCATAACAATTTGCAGATGAAACTGTTCATATTTGTGCTGACTTCAGTGTCGCTGTTGGTACAGATCCTGGGGATGTAACTTTAAATTATGATTGTTCAAGTATAATAGATACTTTTTAATCTGTACATGTTGAGGAAGTGAACAAGGTTCATGGATCTCTGTCCTTACTATCTTATAAAAGCTGGGATTATAGAGTAGCAGTTAATGCCCCTTTACAAAAGGATGTGATTCCATTATATTTTATTTATTTATTTGTGGATTTATATCCTGCCTTTTTCC